CCATTAATCTCAGTTTCAATGATTTTATTTGCACCTGTATAGGTGGTGTTTTCCAATAGCTAACAGTGGGGCAGGTTAGCAGTTAGCTCCGAGAATCTCGGGTTTATGCCATATTTGTAAGATCTGCTGCATCCACAAGGTCACCACATCTCCAGCACTCTTCAGCGGAGACTTCCCATTGTATGGAGAGAGAGAGAGATTGGTTCCATGCGAGACCTGAACCTGCACCTTACCCTCACAAACTAATGTGCCAACCATTACATCGTAGAAGCCACCTTCTATGCAGCTCGATGGCTAGAACACTTCGCCCAACTAGCGTGAGGTGCAGATTCGAGTTTGCCTAGGATCAAATAAATCTTTCATTCATTGCTCAGCATTATTACAGTAGCTTCTATGACAATTTTAAGCCTGTCCTGTGGTCCTTTTTTTCGTCGATTTCGGCTAAGTCCTCATTAAATCAAGCTGTTCTCGACTCTTCATCGCCCGCCTTTATTCAATATTTCGAGCCCTTTCGAGTTTCACTATGTTTCGTCGGCGCCATAGCGGCCACACCAACTCATGTTAATGTCTAGGTGCTAATTAAGCTCCGCAGGGCGAGGTTTTGGAAAGAAATACTTAGAAACCGATGTTTCGCTAGTTTAACAGTTTCTAGTTTAATAGTTAAATAAGTTTCTCTACTTATCTTGCTATTTTAGATAATTCAACATGATGCAGAGTCCACGAATCAGACAGAGTACACGAGGAGGAAAACCGAAGATCTGAGGAAGCGTCACGCCATACAAAGCAGGCAACAACCAAGAGAGCTTAAGGTTTTGGTTATTTCCGCTTTTTCTTGTCATATTTGGTTTGGTTGTTTCGCTGTTTAGAAAATTCCATTAAATGGTTTCCAAGCTTTTATCTAAGAGCTCAAGTAATTTCAGTTAAAAGAAGCACAAATCCGGAAGCAGTTCCGTCAGGCAGTGAAGACGCAAACTAGGCAGTTCAAATTGTACCAAACGCAATTGATGCAGGCTGCTCCTAAGGAAGAGCATAAGGAAATTGCAACACAGTTGAAGGAGGTAAACCTATCTGTTTCGTTACAATTTTCAGAGATAAAAGAGGGAGTCCGCGATTCGGTGTTTCTTTTTCACTCTAAGGCTGCGTTTATACTTTGCGGCAGCGTCCGCCAGCGACCACGAGCGCTTCGAGCGTCCAGCAGCGTCAGCGACTGGGAAAGTATAGATGTCGATCTAGCGTCTGCAGCATCCACCAGCGTTCACCAGCGACAGGGAGAAGAGAGTATGGGGAAGTAGGAGGATGGCAAACAGTTGGATTAGGCGTCGTGAAATTGCGGCGTGTGCAACCGCACCGTACAACTACACTACACCGTACATTAATTGCATAATTCTGTGCTTTAGCAGTTGTGCGGTGCGGTTGCACACGCCGCAATTTCACGACGCCTAATCCAGCTTTTGCTACCCTCCTACTTCCCCATACTCTCTGTATAGGGAAAGGTATGGCTCCGAACGCTGGTGGACGTTGGTAGAAACTGGCAGACGCCAGATCGATATTTATACTTTCCTAGTCACT